TTAATTATTACTCAATCCATATATGTTGAATTTAATTAATAATATTGCTTGTAATCTGTTGCCTCAAATTTATTGAGTAGATATGGGGTATTATTTTTTACAGTGCAAATAGACCCCCAATTCAAGCTATAATGGCTAATGACAATTTGGTTAAAATCTATGAAAAAGAAATTAAATTCACTAAAAATTGGCAAGAAATATTTAAAAAATATGATTTAACAGAATCAGTATCAATACTGAGATGGTCAGCATTTGACTCCACATTCGCCTTAAACAAAATAGACACCAGTTTTAATGTTTGGAATAAGCAGGGACTTATAGCATACTGCACTTTTCTACATAATGGAAGTGTTCAAAAATACATAATGTAAGGATTCAAAAATGAAAATTAATTTAGTGATCATGACTTTCATAGAAATTTACAGATAAGACACAAAATTAAAAACATTAGAAACGGCAATAAAAACTAAAATAATAGTCTTCTTACAGTATTTATTTCAGCTTATAAAGGAGCCAACATAACCAAAATAATTACTAAACTATATAAAAGTCTACAAAACAATAAATTAGAGAACACATATAAAAATTAAATGGGAAAAAGAGTGCAATATTGAAATTACTGAGGAAGAGTGGAAAAGATTTTTTTTAAAAACACAGTGGAAATCAATATTTGTCTTCATTCTAGAGGGAATTTGGTTGGAAAAACATAATTCGTTTTTCATCACCCCTGAGCAAAAGAGATACTTGAACAAAAAGCCAGTCTGCTGGAGTTTATGTGGTTCAATTGAATCAAATCAATTATATGTGTTCTGGAAATGTTAAAAACCCAGGCATTTTGGCAAGAAGTTTCATAAAATGTTTAGAAAATGTATTCCATATCCCCATCGATTTTTCTTTCTCAACTTTATACTTAGGCCTAAAACATCCTATGTTAGAAGAAAAATCTGACAAAAACTGCTGAAAATTTTGCTGATAGCCTGTAAAAAAGCCATAACAAAAAATGGTAACAGCTTGAAATACCTCAAATTAGTGACTGGTTTGACATAAGTTAGGAAATCTATAAGCTGGAGAGGCAAACAATGACCCGTCGTTTACAGACTGAGGAGTTAAATTAGACATGGAGAAAATAGGTAAAATATATTCTGCCTTAAGACCAGATTTATTATAGAATGCATGAATAGTCAGAAAGATGTGAATTTTATTTTGTTTATGTTGTGTATTATTTCTAGTAATGTGAGAAAACATAACAGAAAGATAGAAAGAAGAACACTAGCTATTTTAAATATTGTACATTTAAGATCCTAAAAGTACCATCCTCATAGTTACAAATGTACATAGTTCAGGTAATAATAATAATAATTAAAAAAAAAAAAAGATTGACTGCGTGCATGTCACAATATAACAAAAAAGTACACAATTGAATTGTGACAGAAAAGAAACAAATTAATTTTCTTATGTTTCTTTTTGATGATATACAAAGCAATTATGAGTGTAATTTTTTTCTTGTTTCTTATAATGTCCTTAAATCAATAATGTAACTTCCATTTTTATAATGGAAATATTTTGTATTTTATAATTTCATTTATATCAACAATTTTGAGAATCTTTGATTGTTTTGTGAATACATTGTGGAAAACCCTATCTGTCTGTGAATTTGAAAACTGAAATAAAAAATGAAATAAAATAAAAAGAATATTATGTTTAGAAATGCGTAGAAAAAAACTGCTCTCCGTTAAGCGGAAATTGGGGAAAAAATAAACAGGAGGCAAAAAATTCAGGGGGGCTAATAATTCTGATTTCAAATGTATAGATATATTCCACTGTCTATAACGGCACTTTTTTTCTAACTTCTTAATAGTCCAACAATAAACACAGCTTTAAATATATTGTTATATTTTGTTAAAAAAAATGTATAGCTTTGTTTTATTGTTTTGGAGATTGGATTACTTCTTTTCTGAAAGTTAAAGAAAACTATGACTATACATGTTCTTTACATGGGCTTAAATCAATATACTTGTGCTTTGTAAATGTGTAGATAATTTTGTGGAATTTGAAAATTTAACTTGCACCAGCAGATTAATAAACCATGTCTACTGGCAGAGAACGCATTTAGGATTTTTATTCAGCCTTTCAAATGATTTCTTCGGGTGTTCTATGTAGCATCATTTTACAAAGCCAAATCATAATGTTTTTAATTCATATTATGAAATATTTAAAAACAGCTAATTTAAATAAACAATTGCTCAAGCTTGATAATATATGTAGTTATGTAATAAAATATATGTACATATAAAATATTTGTGGATTATCATTACACAGACGAGTGGTTGCCTCTCAAATTTGCTATAGACTGTGAAAAGGCAAATAAACACATAGTTCATGATGTTTTTTTGTTTTTTTTTTGTAGTTTAATAAAAAATGGCCCTATTAAAGTACACATGTTGTCACTTTTTGCTGTCAGTAAAAATGTGCAACTATTTTAACAGCTCTGTTCTATTGTTACATATGCTTTTCGACAGATCTTTAGAGAGAAAATATACAAGGCATGGCTCGTAAAAATGCTTAATTGTTTTTAAATTATATATATATATATATATATATATATATATATATATATATATATATATATATATATATATATATATATTAGTGCTGTCAAAATTAACGCGTTAACGCATGCGATTAATTAGAAATAATTAATGCGTTAAAAAAATTAACGCAGTTGCAGTTTTTTTTTCCTGTTGTGGCCAGGGGCAGAACGGGCAGTTTCCCTCTGGGTCAACGTACTTTTTGGGCCGGGCTGATCATCTTCCTATGATTTGATTGGCCCATAAAACACTTAGCAGACTGTCATGTTTTTCTCCCAAAGTGATTGACGAGCTGTCACGCTCCGAAAGTAAGATGTTTCTTTTCCGGACAGAGCAGCCATGTGACATAATCTGCAGCCCATTGGTCCTTTTATTTATTGGCATTGGGCTGACTCAATCACAAACTTCCATGTTGGGCTTTGTGTAACGTAGGTGTGTATTCGTCAAAATAGTCAAGAGTCACGCCTGTTTGTTACGCACGAGAGAGCAGAAGCGGAGAGCAGCCTTTTGCGTCTCTGCACTCTGCAGCGTGCAGCGGACCACAGATCAATTCCTGTCTATTCTATCTAGTTACCGATCTGTCCATATAAATATACTTTTTTAAAATAATTTTTTTAACTTTTAATCTGCACAACGGCCCGCGGCAACTTCCCTCCTTAACCTGCAAGTCTTTATTTTACAAATTATAAAGAATGTCTGCTACTCAAGCTCTATGAGGGGTGTCAGTCATGTGTTTTAAGATGCACTCGGGCAGAAGACAAGTGCATGAGATATCATGACATTGTGTTTTTGATTGTCAGCTTGATGTAGGCTTATAGTGAAAATAATATTTATACAATATGGTTATAATAATATTTATACATGACCAAACTAGTGTACAAATTAAGAAACTTTTTTTTTACACTTAGTTTATTAGTTCTGCCCAAACAAATATTTGTTGCATTTTTTAATTGTTTAAGATCATTTGATTGACAATGTAAAATATTTTTAGCTACGTTTGATGTTTCATTGTTAAGTTAAACATTTTTTAGGGTCTCTGATACATTGCTTTTATTATTTATCTTTATTTTATTAATTAACATTAATTGTGTGCATCAGCAGGCAGTTTTTGTCATGATCATTATTTATTGGCTCCCACAAAACCCATAGGCACCCACATTTCCAGTGTGAATTATAATTTTATTTTAATAATAAAATATATATATTTTTTTTTCATTTGTCAACTCTCGTTATTTCCTATATGCCAGGGCTGATTATTTTGTCCCAGTCCAGCCCTGCAATTAGTACAATTGTTTGTATTCAATACTTTATTATTATTATTATAATTTTTAATTTTCCATATCTGCAATGCCTGTATTTCCGCATTTTTTTGCAGTCCACTTAGAATCCAACATGGAAATCAATGTTTTCTTTATTGGCATTGATTGTTTTGAAATTTAAATGGCATTAACATGCCTGTGTTTTAATTTCTGTAATAAATATGGCTGTCAAGCCAGGTTCTTGATGGTTTATTGTGGGTATGTTGTTTACATGAAGAAATCTGTGTTACAAGTTAAACAAAAATTCAAATAATAAATTATATTTTGGATTTAAATAGTATCCGTCTTGTGATTACCTTAATTCTACATTAGAATAGCCAAAATTACAAGTTTCAGATTAAATGCGATTAATCACGATTAATTAAAAAAAAAGTGAGATTAATTAGTTTTTTTTTAATCGATTGACAGCACTAATATATATATATAAAAAAAAAAAAAAATATATATATATATATATATATATATATATATATATATATATATATATATATATATATATATATATACTTTGATGTAAGGGAACATTTTTTGTCTAAAATATTAAATTTAAGAAACATTAGCAGTTACAAATTGAAGTAGTTTTTTGGTTTAAAGTGTCATTAAATTTTAAAGTAATTCAGTCTTTATTATTATTATTTTGTGATTAGTATCAAAACAGAAACAAACAAGCAAACACCAATATATACAATATCTTAGATTAAAAGGAACTAGAGTTTACAAATTTATGTTTTTGTATAGGAGGGGTGCTGATTGTTTCTGTTGTTCTTTGTTTTTGTTTGTATTGCAAAAGAAAGAAAAAAAAGATGACCTTTTCTAACATCTGTCTACATCCCTAAAATATATTTAAAAAATATTTTTTAACAGTATTACAAAACTGATAATTCCTGAGTTAGTTTAACACCAGTACATACAAATATTTATTGATTTAGTGAAATGAACACACCCATAGTTTTCAACACACTCAAATTCCTTGCAAATCCAACTCTATAATGGCAATGTGTGAATACTAAATAACAATACTATGATCTGCTTAGTTTAGCTATTTGTTGAGTTTCTTAATATGGTTTGAACTTTTAATTTTTTTTTATTTATCATTTAATGTGTTCTGAACTATTCAGCCCTAGTGATTACCACTATAAAAGCACAAGTGTTCAATCAGGTCATTTGCAGTTGGCTGTCACGAATGAGCTAAACCTTGAAGATGCTTCTCTTTCTTTACACACTCCTGCTTTTCCATCACCTTCACACTAAGGCTGGAAACACTCTTTGCCGAATAATGGGAGACCCTCAATATCCACTGCTTTCCACAGATGGAGACATAACTATTGGAGCTCTTTTTCCAGTCCACAGCACAGAAACATTGCCTTCATTTGAATTTACAAAACAACCTCAGCTTCTATCATGCTCCAGGTTTGTTTCATTTCAAATATTAGAGCAGATCCAATATCTATTTTAAACAAAAATGCTTTCAGGATTAAAATAATACCCACAAATGAATTTGGTGTATCAAGCGTGAATATGCTATAGGGAAAGTCACAAAATAATTAATTATATTTTCAAATTATTTAGTTAAGCCTATATATTTAGCCTTATATATCTTTTCTTATTTCATATTGCAGTGTGTACCTGAGAGATTTTCGTCTGGCACAAATCCTGATCTTTGCCATTGAGGAGATAAACAGAAGTGTACAATTGCTACCAAATATTTCAATTGGTTATAGAATCTATGATACCTGTGGTTCAAGACAGTCTACCATGAGTGCAATTATGGGACTAATGAATGGTCAGGAGTTTGGAGCAGGTGAGAGATGTAATGGACGGTCTCCTATACATGCAATCATTGGTGAATCAGAGTCTTCTGCAACAGTGATACTGTCCAGAACTACGGGACCTTTTAAAATTCCAGTGGTAAAAAGCAATACAATTTTATTAATGTTTTCTTTAGTTTTTAACAATCACAGATGGTGGTATCACTGTTTTCTGTATTTTATTTTTTTTGCAGATAAGTCACTCAGCCTCATGTGAATGTCTCAGTAATAAGAAAGACTACCCATCATTCTTCAGGACTATGGCTAGTGATTACCATCAGAGCAGAGCACTTGCTTATCTAGTTAAGGACTTAGGCTGGTCTTGGGTGGGAGCTGTGAGCAGTGACAATGAATATGGAAACTATGGAATGTCCATATTTCTGAAAATAGCCCAAGAAGTGGGGATTTGTGTAGAATATTATGCCAAATTCTACCGAACAGAGGCAGAAAATCTCCATAAAGCAGTGAATATGATTAAAAAAGGCACAGCAAAAGTAATTGTTGCTTTTGTTTCACTTCCAGAAATGGGCATACTTGTTGATCAGTTAAGCATTGAGAACATTACAGGACTCCAAATGATTGGTGTGAAATCATGGATAACTGTAAAAAGTTTCATCACTCCAAGCAGCTTTCATGTGCTTAAAGGGTCATTGGGGATTGCGGTGAAAAAAATCAGTGTTGAAGGCTTTGCTGAATATGCCATTAACGAATTTTGGAAAAAAGGTTTTCCATGTTTAAAGAGTGAGGTTAATTCATCTCGATATGCATTAAGTTGTAGCAGATATGAGGATCTCTTTGTGCTAAAATCAATCAGTGAGGATGTGCCTGAACAAAGATATGCAAGCTACGTGTACAAAGCAGTTTATGCTGTGGCACATTCATTACACAGTCTATTCAATTGTAAAGAACACGAAGGTTGTGAGAAAGACCTGACAATACAACCACAGCAGGTAAAACAAACAATTGGTGAAATGAAATGGATAAAATGAAGAAAAATGTTTTACTGCCTTAGTGACAATGCTAATACTTTTCATTGGCAGGTTGTTGAGGCTTTAAAAAAGGTCAAGTTCACCATAAAAACAGGGGATCATGTGTGGTTTGACAGCACTGGTGCCGCTGTAGCCCAATATGATGTTGTAAATTTACAGCTGGACTCATATGGTTCAACACTTTTTAAATCAGTGGGATACTATGATGCTTCATTGCCCCCTGAACAGCAGTTTGTGCTAAACACTACAAACATCATTTGGGCTGGAGGAGAGGTATAAGGCAGTAACCCATTTTTTCTATAACATTTGAACTAAACATCACAAAAAAGAACACAGGATTATGTTACATCACTGTTCTTTGGTTTAAAAACAATTTACTACTCCATACCATGCCATCATGGTGTAATCAACACTACACAATATATCTCAATTAATCAGAAGTAGTTAAAACAACTTAAACAATAAAAAAACTCAAAAAAATTGTAATTTATTAAATTCAAAATAGCTCTCTTTTGTTTATTTAGTATTATGCCAAATTCAATGCAAAAGAGAAAGACAATCTCCAGAAAGTGGAACACACAATTATAAAAGGCACATATACACATTATATACACTGTTCACCCTATACACAACACCCTAATTTTCCAATTTTGACTGTAACGTAATAAGACACACCTTTTTGCAAAGCTGCTTTGGAACAATAATTATTGTGAAAAGCGCTATGCAAATAAGCTTTATTTAAACAGCAAAACTGAGTGTTGCAGAAATTAGGTTACTTTATGATGAGTTAACAATGCTACATATTTCAGGCCAAGGTTTGGTTAATTCAAAATAGTTATTTTTTTACAAAATCATCTCTTCAAGCAGAAGGTGAGGTCCGTGTGCAGTGAAAGCTGTCCTCCAGGCACCAGGAAAGCTACACAGAAAGGAAGACCTGTCTGCTGTTATGACTGTATTCAATGTGCAGATGGAGAAATTAGTAATGAGACAGGTAATATACCTATTTTACAGTTCCACAAAAAACTGGTTAGCTGCTCATAAATGAATTTTTAACTCTGCTTCTAATTAGTGTAACTTTCTTTTCAGATTCGAATAATTGCAAACAGTGCCCAGAGGAATACTGGCCTAATACTGAGAAAAGTAAATGTGTGTTAAAGATTGTAGAGTTTCTTTCATTCACAGAGCTTATGGGCATCGTGTTAGTTATTTTTTCACTGTTTGGGGTAACATTGACTGTATTGGTGACCTTCCTGTTTTACAGCAAGAAGGACACTCCTATAGTAAAAGCCAACAACTCAGAGCTGAGCTTCCTGCTCCTCTTCTCACTGACTCTGTGTTTCCTCTGTTCACTCACTTTCATTGGCCGTCCCACTGAGTGGTCCTGTATGTTGCGTCACACAACATTTGGGATCACTTTTGTCCTCTGTATCTCTTGTATTCTGGGAAAAACAATAGTGGTGTTAATGGCTTTCAGAGCTACAATTCCAGGTAATAATATGATAAAATGGTTTGGTCCTGTACAACAACGACTCAGTGTTCTTGCTTTTACGCTTATACAGATTCTTATATGTGTGGTTTGGCTGACAATTTCACCTCCATTTCCAAGCAAAAACATTAAATATTATAAAGAAAAGATTATTCTTGAGTGCAGTCTGGGTTCTACTATAGGTTTCTGGATTGTTCTGGGCTATATTGGCTTGCTAGCTGTCTTGTGCTTCATTTTGGCTTTTTTGGCTCGCACATTGCCTGACAACTTTAATGAAGCAAAATTCATCACATTCAGTATACTCATATTCTGTGCAGTATGGATCACATTTATTCCAGCGTATGTCAGTTCTCCTGGAAAATTGACTGTAGCTGTGGAGATATTTGCCATTTTAGCCTCGAGCTTTGGCTTACTTTTTTGCATATTTGCACCTAAATGTTACATTATCCTGTTCAAGCCTGAACAAAATACAAAGCAACATATAATGGGAAAAACAATATCCAAGAACTGAGAAATAAACTAACATTTTCTCTAGATTGTTGTTTTTTTTTATTGATTATTAATTGACAAAATGTGTCCCCCAAGTCCTGTTAATTAAGTTAACCAGGCAATTTAGGTTAATTAGTTAAGTCATTGGATAACATTGGTTTATTTTGTAGCCAATCCAAAAAATAATGGGGGTGGCATGGTGCCTCTGTGGTTAGCACTGTTGCCTCACAGCAAAAAGGTCACTGGTTCGAGTCCCAGCTAGGCCAGTTGGCATTTCTGTATGGAGTTTGCATGTTCTCCCTGTGTTTTTGTGGGTTTCTTTCAAGTGCTTCGGTTGGTCATAGTGAATGTGAGAGTCTATGAGTGTTTCCCAGTACTGGATTGTGGCTGGACGGGCATCTGCTGCATAAAGCATATGCCGAAATAGTTGGCGGTGGCAACCCCTGATAAAGTGACTCAGCCGAAGGAAAATCATAAAATTAATATATAAAATGGGTGTTACGGTACATATATTTGTCCCAGACGGTTCGAGGCTCGCGGTTCTGTTTACCTTTTCCCACAACAAATACAATCAGTCCAGATGTACAGTGTCTGCTAGACAGAAAAGTTCACAGCAGTGCAACAACTGAAGAGCCATTTTCAAAGGATGCTTGATGGTGTCTGAAAACATGACAGCAGTTTTCGGTAGTTGTTCCGTTATTTTGCCATTGTCATCCCAACTTTCTAAAGTTTTTCTGATTGGTCCATCCACTGCATGGAAATTGACAAGTATGTATGACAAATGAGGACTCTTGTGGGTGGAAACTGAAATAAACATGCGGTGCTGCAAAAGACGCAAGTGTATAATGGTCATTCACGTCCATCAAACAATGAAAATATAAAATACTGTCTAATTATGTGAGCGCGTAAGTCAGTCTGTAAGCAACTGACTTATCTACTCACACACACACACATAACTTGTTTTCCGCTACACCTGCTGATATGAATGGCACAACACTAGCCTTTTCTTCAAAATAGATTTCAGCCTATTCAAAATTAAAATTCTGTTCAGAAAAGCAAATACCCATTTGTTTTTATTCCTGTTGCACCACACTCCACAAGGAAATGTGACCCAGAACCGAGGTATGTATCGAACTGTGACTCCTGTGTACTGTTAAAACAAATGCATTTGAAGACATTATTTATTCATTCATTTTCTTTTCGGCTTAATATCTTTATTAATCTGGTGTCGCCACAATGAACCACCAATGTATCCAGTATATGTTTTACGCAGCGGATGCCCTTCCAGCTACAACCCACCACTGGGAAACATACATACACACTCATTCACACACACATACACTACAAATAATATAGCTTACCCAATTCACCTATACGGGATGTTTTTGTACTTGTGGGGGAAACTGGAGCACCTGGAGGAAACCCACGAGAGCATGAGAATAATGCAAACTTCACACAGAAAGTCCAACTGACCAAGCCGAGGCTCGAACCAGCAATCTTCTTGCTACCCACTGTGATGCCCTAGAGGACATAATGCAGAGAATTTTATTAGGCGGCCATTAAGGTTATATATTTATGTAATGCTTGCATCATGTTACTGTTTGAGTGTTTCAATCATTTATGTATGTAGTGATAATTTGTCTGTGTAAAGCACTTTATTTTATTAATTAAAAGTTTAAAAGCAGTTTTTCAGACTCTTCACGTTCACCCCCCAACCACGCTCTTCACTTTCACCCGCAACCCCCGACTTACCACTCTTCATTTTCATCCACGATCATCACCACCGACCCCCACCCCCCTTTTTCACTTTCATCCGCTTTCGACAAAAAATTAAAAATTAAACACAAAAAATTACATGAATGACGTTAATCGAATTATATGCTATAACTGCATGTAAATGGGGTCACGGAAATTGGGATCAGGAACTCATGTAAACACCTTAATCATGTTATTATCTTATTCATTCATTCATTTATTTTCTTGTCAGCTTAGTCCCTTTATTAATCCCTTCAACTTATCCAGCACGTTTTTTTACGTTTTTCCAGCCGCAACCCCTCTCTGGGAAACATCCACAAACACTCATTCACACGCACTCATACACTACGGACAATTTAGCCTACCCAATTCACCTGTTCCACATGTCTTTGGACGGTGGAAACCGGAGCACCCGGAGGAAACCCATGCGAATAAAGGGATAACATGCAAACTCCAAACGCCAACTGAGCTGAGGATTGAACCAGCGACCTTCTTACTATGAGGCAACAGCAATACCTACTGCGCCACTGCTTCGACCTTGTCTTATTCAGATTACCACAAATAATTTGACTACTAAAGTCTATGTAAACATTGTCATTGTCTATCTCCCCTGTGTCTGTGTTGCAACTGTGAAAATCAGCACGTGCATGTAATAAAACCACCCTTATCATACAAACCCAAACTAGAGGTGTGGAAACACCCTGCTGAGACAGGGTGGGGTTTCATGGCCCAAGGTTAGAGACTGACACAAGTTCGGATACAGTCAAAAGACTAATTGCACTCGCACTCACATTACATTCGGGCCTTGGCACGCTTATGTCATCGATAATACGCTGTTCAGTAAGCGCTTTAGCTCAGCACAGTGGACATTAATTTATATTGTTTTAGTCGTTTGGGAAGCGGTGATGCAGTCAAATATTTAGCTGAACAGATCAGCCACATTTGACACTCATAAACAATCATAAAGTCCGTGTGCTGCAGGAATTGGAACAGGAATTGGTTTAATGAAGGTGCAGCTGTTGTGCAGTGAAGGGTTTGCGTCCTCAATAAACTATGACTGTTTGTGTTTATTGAATAGTAAGAATGATTAATTAATCCATATAAAACCACCCCTTAAAAGTCACTTCTCGCTTTCAGTTTAGGGCTCTGGCGCATTTTGCACTCACACACAAGCGCACCATGCCAAAGCCCAAGTGAACCGTGCTCTGGCACACAAGTGAATCGTGCCTGAGCCCAATTCAGAGCACTCACACTGCTCAAACGGGCCTGACACGGTTAGGATAGCATAGTGTGAGTACGCCCTTAGACTGCTTTATTCTTGAAAATGTATGTTATTCATAAAAGCAAGTTTAAATAGTTTTATTCAGGCTTTTATATGAAACATTATGTAAACTAAACCTAATGTGTCATTGGAATCAGGAGAAGAAATTGTTATGATTTGATTGGATGTTTTCTTTAACAGGTGCAGGAACTCTTGTAGAGTTACATGTTTAGCAACATGTAGGTCTTTCTCTCTGTTTGCATTTCGCATATTTAGCATACTTTAACAATATTTATGCAGGATGTTACACAATAGAATGGATGAAGCAGTTTCTTAAAGCTTAATAAACTAAACAATAAAAGGACCAGCCTAAAATCTAAACTAAACCTGGCTGAAAATGTCTGGAAATCTTGGTAAAATTATATGGAAACTGGAAGAAAAGTGGAGCAATATTACATCAAAGCTGCGTAAAGAACTGAAGAGGGTGAGGAGTGTAAGGAGAGCCTTGAGTGTGGAGTTAAGGAGGGTCTGGAGACTTTATGTCAGCAGGCACTGGTGGGTCAGAAAACCCCAGTGAGTCAGGAGGCAATGGTAGGTCAGGCAACACCAGTGGGTCAAGAAGTTCTGGGTTGTGGCACTAGCAGGTCAGACAACTCCTGTGGGTCTGAAAGGTCTTGGGTCAGGAAGCTCTGGTGGATCAGACAAACTCAGTCAGTCAGGAGTATTTTGAATCAAGAAGCAAAGAGAGGTCACAAGGCTCTGGCAGCACTGGGAAGTCACACAGCTTTGGCAACAATTCGGACTTTATTGGACCCAACCTTCAGGGGAATCAGTAGAATCTGGCATCCACCATTTCGGGGGATTCTAGAGGGTCTGATACTCGTCATTCAGGGATTCTGAAATCTGAGGAGGCAGCCAATTGAGAAACTCAATCAGCAGCACACAAATGGTGGGGATTCCATGAAGGTAAGATTGAGTGGCCGGACTGATGGAGCATGGAGCATGTGGAGTCACAGGCAAATACACAGGTAGGTCAAGCATGATTTACCTGTCCCTTTCTAGCCCCTCTAGGTTCTTTTTGTCTGTTGCCATGTGTCTTCCTCTGGCAGGATTAAACTGATGTTGGTGTCTAGACCATTCCAAAACATAAAGGGGAATACATGGAATAAAGAGAGGTGAAGGTCTAAATGTAGCCAAAAATATTTTGTTCTTAGAATTTTTAGATCTTGAACTGATAAAAAAAATGCAAAGCAATGGTTTGTGTGTTTTCTTAGAAAAAAGTCACTGTTTTAAATTCACATATATTACAGGATGCAATAAATTAACAGGTGATCAAAAGGCATTTAGAAATACGCTTTTCTTAAAACTTTATATATATATATATATATATATATATATATATATATATATATATATATATATATATATATATATATATTAGGGATGTGCGGAGCAGCCGGCATTTGTATCTGTATTTGTATTTGTTGAGGAGGGAAAAGTATTTGTATTTGTATTCGAGTAAAATTCAAAATGGCGCAAAAATATATATTTTTTTCTATTACACTTCTAATTTACGTTATAGTGAAAGTATTGTTTAATTATACCCATTATATAAATTATAGACATGCAATATTGGTTGTTGTTTTTGAACATGTGACAAGAAATGTCATTGAATAGAAAATAACATAGAAGCCATTATCTCATCCATGGGTAAACAAACAACTAATAAAATACCATTGTGAATATTATGAACCCCACCACCACTGTTCTTGTTGAAGGACACTGAAAAGACAGAATAAAAACAAATAATACTTCAAAAAACTGTTCTTCTTCTGAAAGAACTTCTTTCCAATGGACAGAATTCCAAAAACTAAAATTAACTAAATAAATCTAAATAAAACCCTGCCTGGGAGATCTGGCAGAACAAAAGTATTCTATATAATACTAAAAGATACAGCCCTGCTATTGTCATCTGTCTGCCACAAAACAGACACAAAGTTTTTTTTTTTTTTTTTTATGTTTGAAACTGACTTGCTGGGACAGAATGTGGCTGTGTTGATGGTTTGGTGCTTGTGGAGGATTTAGCAGAACATAGCTGTGCTGATTGAGGGGAATGATGCTTGTGGGGGGTTCACAGACAGTATCAGGAGAGGATGCTTTTAGTGCACTTGATAATACATTACATAGAAGGTTGCGCGGTGGCACAGTGAGTAGCACTGTCGCCTCACAGCAAGAAGGTTGCTGGTTCAAGCCCCGACTGGGTTCTCACCATGTTGGCGTGGGTTTCCTCCGGGTGCTCCGGTTTCCCCCACAGTCCAAACACATGCAATACGGGTGAATTGGGCAAGCTAAATTGTCTCTATTGTATGTGTGTGAAAGAGAGTGTATGGATGTTTCCCAGTGCTGGGTAGCAGCTGGAAGGGCAGCCACTGCGTAAAACATATGCTGGATAAATTGGTGGTTCATTCCACTGTGGCAACCCCAGATTGATAAAGGGACTTAGCCGAAAAGAAATGAATGAATGATTATGCATAGAAGATGTTGACAGATGTTTAATATCTCTGCCTCTGCTGATTTCACTTTTGCACACATTATACAGTATCACTTTGTTTTAGTTGCAGCTCCACTGACTGTAAAATTCTTCCACAAAGAACATGAAGTTTTTTGTTTTTTTTTTGACTGGTGGAGGACCAAGAAATGGCTCACTCTTTTTCTGGGTGCCCAAATGTATTTGAAGAGTTTCAAGTTAATAAAAAGTGACGGCTAAAAAATGCAGCGTAATGGAATATCCCGATCAAACTCCGCTACAAGTGTA